GTTCACTTTGCTGTTTGTTGAGCAAGTGTGTGTGTATATGTGTGACAAAGTAATGGAGGGTGCTACACTGCACTGTAGCTTGCATGTATAAAATTAAGTATGTGTGTTTGTGTGAACCCAGGTAGCTCCCATGGTGGTGTCCACCCCCACCTCGATAATTCAGCCACAATTACAAGACTCTCCTTACTGCCGCAGCTAATGAAACCATAAGTCAGCCTGAGATACACACACACACACACAAACACACACCACTGCAGCAGAACCAAGCAAGCAGAAGGAGAAAAGAAGGGAAGGTAAAAAGTGAAAAATAGAGAATGAAAAGATAAATTTGAGAGCAAGAAGGACAGAAACAGTTTTGGTTGTTGTGTACAGTATGTGCGTCTGCGTCTGCTCATCCTTCTGTTTGTGTCTTAACAGAACCATAGTGCACAGTACATATTGACTCAGATGTTACAAGGATGACAGAATGCCGCACAGTGTTGCTCAACTTCATTAATTTGCACAGAGATTCAACAAAAAAAAACGAGTAAACAGAAAAACCTGGCTTAGCTGTTTGGATATGCAGGTTATGATCTGTGAGATGAAACCACAGCTCACTATCAGTTCTATTTATGATTAACTATAGACCTATACTAAAGCAATATCATCAACACTGTGATTATCATCAGGATTCTCTACTCCCTCCTCTGTGTAATTGTTTCATTATGTACAATAATGATGTAAAGCCTTCCTGACTCTCTCCTAATTTAACACAGCATCAGTAAACTAATAATCTCCACCCTGCACTGATCCAACAGGGGAATGCAGAAGCAATATTACAAATCACTTATACAGTATGCAGGTAATTAGCAGACATGTGACCAGTCCAGGGTGCACATCGCCTCTTGCTCAGTGTGGGCTGTGTACTGCACAGAATACATGGGTATAGATAATGGATGGACAGACCCCTGGAGTCAGATTATCAAGTCTTGATTCCTTTGGTAGCACTGTTTATAGCTTTCAAATTGCACGAGTCTTCAGACACAGCGGTGCAATAACATCATTAAATGAATTACTGAAACTAGAATTGTGTGAAATATAAATGTGCTAACCCGGGATTGAGTAATAATAGTGTTGGGGAGTAGTCCTGACTTGATAGGTGTTATACAGCAGTAACCACTGTCACTGTATGAGAAACTCATGCCCTGCTAATTGATTTGGCTCATTCAGCAGTTAATAAATCTTTACCCTTCTGATAATAATTGTAATTAAATAAACTTTAAACTGCAAAACACAGGCCATCAAGCCTGCCTCATTTCATGTGCATCAGTTTGTGCCCATAAAACACTGCCCCTGTCACACACACACACACACACAGTAGCCAGGATTTGCCAATCCTTGGAGGAAAATCATTAAATCTGCTTCACTGATGTATGTGGACATTGGGAAATATGACAGTGGCACAACCTCTTTGCACATCTACATGGTGAAGGGTTTGCAGAGGTGGGCAGAAAAGCTCCCTTCCAACAATGCTTTGTGCAGACTGGCCTGTCAAGAAAGATGATGGGCTGATCATCTGCAGTGGGGAGAAAAAAGAGTAGTAGTATACAAGATGCAAGTACAAGCATAAAATAGACAGCCACATGACCATTCAGTGGGTTACAGCACACACAGCCAGTATGTATTGCTAACTTGTTGTTATTTTGGGTGTAGAAAACAACTTTGGACTTTATCTCTTCTGCAAAGTGGCCCATAGCCTATATATTGTATCAAATACCCACTTCGAATGGTTTCTTGCTATTTAATATATGCTTGGTTTGATGATACAAGATGGCCTAAGGTTTAAGAGATAATTCCCCAACCAGGAAGTCAGAGGTTCAGTAGCCTCAAACACCCTTGACAAAGAAGCTAAAAACATAGTGTACACTTTGCCTCACACTGCTGCTGCTGAAACTTGCCCCTCCCCACGTCTCCCTGTCTGTGCTGTGATGTGCTTGGTGGCAGAATGCATCTGGAGGCCAGTGCTTTTGGTTAAAAATTCTTCCTTTAAAACTGGCTATTTTCTACTTAATCCAAGTGCAGAGAGGGAAAAAGAAGAAGAGAGAGATAGAGCTCGCTCAAGGCAAAGCGACTTCACAGACAAGTGAAGGCCTGCCGTCTTCCCCCTCCTTCTTGTCTCGTCTTCTCATTCCTCTCCTGCTTTTTTCTTTGCTGCTTCTTTTTCTGTCCTTTTCTCATTTTACCCCTCTACCCCCCTTATGTTTTGCCAATGTCAGCTTCTTACCACAGTTGCCTTTTGTACTGTTTGTAATGCTCTTTGGTGCTGAAGTTCTGACATCCCAGCTCGTCACTGTTCCACAAGTTTTTGTAACTTGGTATAATCTCTGATTCAGCATTTCTCTGATCTCTTTCAAAAAGTGGAACGTGCTCGCAGGGCTTTCTATCCATATTCACTATCAAAGTTATGTTTATGCATGACATCTATTGCGTGTCTGTGTGTCCTGAGGTGTCTTCCTTTTTTTCCTTACTAAAGCTTTTTGGGGGAGTTTCTCCATATCGTGGTGGATGGATGTCTCATACAAAAACATTGATCTTTAACTATAACCACAGTCATTCATAAAGTACTTATTTTAACACAAACCATGACCTTTCCCTAACCAAGCTGTTCTGGTGCTTAAACCTGACCAAAACTTTACTATAATTTCCTGCCATTTGGCTCTAATTCAGAAAATGCTTCTATGGGTAAAGACAAACAACCTATGCGGTCATTTGAGTTGGAGCACATGTTCTTAAATCAAGGTATATGGTCTGTTCATCTGTCTCAGCCAGCAGTGTGCTCACCTGGAGTGATAAATCAAGTATTGTACAGGTGCATGTGCATGAGCGCATACAGGTTTGTGGCAGGAGGCAGTCGTTGTGTGCATACATTATGTGCCTGCTATGAGGGGCTTTCCACCTTGCAGGCAATTTGCCCTAAAAGCATATATCAATGAAGAAGAGGAGATGTGGTTAAAACAAATAGAACAGAGGAGGAGGAGGGGACACTTGATGCAGTGCCAACTCTGAGGTCACCTTAATTTTTGATTTGATTCAGTGAATGGAACCATCACAGTACAAGCACACAGAGAGTGAGAAAGGGAGCGATACAGGGATGAAAAGAGGGAAGAAAGAGTGGAGGAAAAAATTGTTGGAGAGATTTCAGCATCACAGAAATAAGATCAAGGACAAGCTCATTATGTTCTTCCATCATTCAACATCCATTTTTAGGTAGACTTGAGCAGCACTGGTTATTATTACAACTTAAATCTACTTTAGTTTTAGTCCACATTTCTGTTAGTTAGGGTAACATTTGGGAATGCATTGCTACAACAATTTGACAGACTATCAAACAGTTATATTGTACATCTTACCATCTCCGTTACAGGCCAAGTTATGGCAGAAAATATGCATTAAATGGGGTTTTAAATGTTAACTTTGAATGACCATTACATCCGGAATATGGATCAGAGCTGGATGAAATTGGGTCTGGAGACAGACATCGCCATCCTACATATGTGTGTCAAATTTCAAACAAAAATATTTTTTATTAACTTTCAACAGAGATGTGAATTTTATTTTTAAATTTTGCCCCATGTTAAATATATGAATTTTATGTGTGTGTGTGTGTGTGTGATTTTTTTTATGTGACCTTTGACCTTGTTCAACCAAAATCTAACCACTTCAAGGGTTGGTCCTCACCAGTGTCTGCACCGAGTATTCTGGTGATCCAGCCATTTGTCCATAATCCTGCTAACCAACACACACACCGAACCAAAAACATAACCTTCTTGGGGGAGCTAATTATGTTGTCTTATTATTGTGCCCCTATGAGAAACAAAGAAGACAGGAAATAAGGAAGAATATGTCTTCAGCAAGACAAGCAGAAATATGCAAGAAACCATATTGCGTGGAAACCTGCCAAAAGGTCAGGAATGTGACATTGGCCATCTCTGAAAACAGACTGAACTCTGTGACCCTGGCAGCAGCATGACAAGCCTGTGGGCAATCAGCAAATCAGCCATGCAGAGGGCAAACAGACAGACAGCTGATGGACAGAGTGATAGTGGAGGGGAAGAGGAACGAGGCAGATGCAGAGTTCGAGATGGTGTGATAGAGCGATGGACAGAGGTCTGATAGAGGGACACAAACATGCTGCCCATTGGAGGACAGATTCACAGATAGAAATGGAAGAGACAAGGCAGAAACAAAGGAGGAAAGCTTTTTCACAAAAGGTAGTCAGAGTACAGTATACTGTAATATATTGAATATATTCAACTCTGAAAGACTCTGAAAGACCTTTGAAACAAATTACCTCCATCACAGCTGAACATTCTATAGAAGTATTCCTAGGTGGTACGGTAGATTGACTTCATCCTTAATTCAAGGAAGCAATTAATGTCCCTTCATGTCAGTGTAAGTCATAGTATTGTCACAGTAATAACAGTACTACTACGAGTTGAAATACAGTTTAAAAACTTTCTTGTTGAGCTGTCAAGTGCTGCAGAACACGTCGACATGTGAGACAGGAATCAAACACTGTTACTGCAACAAGCTACAAAGGTTCTACTTTTCTCTTATTGATTGTCCTCAGGGTTTGATACCCCAGTACATTGATCTTTAGAATGTGCATCTAAAATCTCTGGGGGACACTTTATAGGGAAAGTTTTCAAAACAATCTGTACTCTCAGAAGTATTACAATTAGTTCTTCTAGTATTTTCAGGCTATAAAATTTCCAGTTCCAGTTCCATGCTGGTTTCTATGCGCTTTAGGCCTTGGATCCATGTACTGGTAATCCATTATTTGTTCATTCACCTGTTATGTTATGTGTTGTCTTGTCTTCAGTTTTCAAATGTATAAATAAAAAAATCTTTGCCAACTTTTTTCCGATGAACGTCTGATCAGTTTGCTGCACCAGCCATTAGCGGTACATTGTACCAGTGGTGACAGTGACAGCAACTTTGGCCTTGATGTGTGTGTCCAGGCGCAGTGCGAGCCTCCAGTATCTTCCCCATCCTGAGTGTGATCCTGCTCTTCATGGGGGGGCTGTGCATCGCCGCCAGCGAGTTTTACAAGTCACGCCACAACATCATCCTCAGCGCCGGCATCCTTTTTGTCTCTGCAGGTATGAAGAATCTGCTTTTTTTAAATTTATTTATTTTTGCCACTAGAGCATCAGGATGCTTCGTTTCTTGACACTGTATTCTATATGGATGACTAGAAAAAGGAACTAAATTAAACTATTTGGAGAAAAGATAGCATGTTTATCACAGGTGTAAGCACCAAGATTTTGAAAAAATATACTTATATATTTTAACTGTATGTAAAGTGAAGAAGTAATCTGTTAGAAAGCATATTGTCCTTCCATTATGCTACTTTGTCTCCACTCAGGAGGTTATATTCCTGGTTGATTTGTTTTTCTGTTTGTTATTTAGCTAGTGAAAAGCAATATCAATAACATTTGGATAAAATGTAGCTAATAATAAGTATTTGTTTACTTTTTTCACATTTTCACTATTTTCAGACTAATTGACTGCAGGTTTCTTACTATGATGCAGATCTGCAACTAGAAACAAATGTTAAAAATACATCTCTGTGGCTTTAAGTTTTTAAAAAATGGATTAGTTTTGCATATGTTTTCAAAAAGCGTTGCAAAATTGGTCAGAATACAACAATATTGATTCTCTAGCTGGGACCTGCCATCACTAATGGGGGGAGATGAAAAGAGAGTGAAGTGCTTGTGTATACTAAATGCTTTTGTGCTTCAGTTTTGGGAAAGGCTAAAGAGGTCTGCGCCACTCTCGGTGCAATTGACAGGCCTGCTGCAGGGATAGAAGAATAGGCGTAAAAGATTAGGATGGGCAGGGAGCTCTTTGCTGAAACGCATTGGTCTTTACATTAAGGTTGCTGCAAATAGTGCAAGTGTTACTGGGCAGTTTGTTTTCCACTTAGTTTTTCTCTTGGTTATGCACTTTGGACAGTGGGTGAAGTTGTACCAGAAATATTTGTAGTATCTGGGTAATGAAAAGTGAAAGCTGATGTGAGAAGGTTTGGTTGGTTTAAATACTAGAAGCCATAGGGGCGTAGGTCCAGATAATTCAGATAATTACATTATCTCCATATATATAGGATTGGGGGGTGACAGTGGTGTGGTGGGTCGCACAGTCATCTCCCAACTGGAAGGTTGAGGGTTCGAATCTTGGTGACTGCAGTCCACATGTCGAAGTGTCCTTGGGCAAGACACTTGGGCAAAAATGAAAATAAGACTGAGTCTGAGGAGGCGGAGCTGGGAAGAGAAATAAGAGAGGGGGAGAAAATCCTGGTGACAGCACAGTAACAAAAAATCTGAAACGGATACAAATGTCTGCGTTGTGGAGCCAGGATGGCACTCGCTCACCACTAGGTGATTGTATGTGTGAGTGTGGCATACAACAGTCACCTCAGGACAAAGCTAGGGAAAAAAAGATTGTGCAAGTTGTCATCTTACCAGATCAGTTTTATGTTTTTGTGTGTTCATACATGTGTATTTGTGCTGTGGTTCTGGGCCATGGCCTACTGTTCTGCACTACATACTGTAACTAGTTCTCCTCCAAGTCAGAAGTGAGAGAAGCAGTTCTCTCTCTCTTTCTCACTGTGTCTGTCTCATCCTGTTGCTAGGCTAAGAGGAGCCCACTGGGATTACACTCTAAAAATAAGGTGTCCCTGATACTCTTCTGCTCTGAACCATCTCAATCAAGTCCTCACATCACTCACACCTCTGTCTGCTTTTCTGTCACTTGATACAGCATTGGTTTCATCATTTTTCTGCATATTTGTCTACCTGTTTGTCCATGAGTCTATTTCTGGCTGCACACAAAAACAACAGATGATCAAAATAGATGGAGGGAGAAACGGACAGAAAAGGTGAGACAGATGAGACTGATAGGGGATGTAAATTTGAACTTCGCTGGAGTTAGGAATGGCTGGGTTAGGTGAGTTACAGAGATACAGAGGAAAATATTCAAATAAAATATAAGAAACAAATGTAAGAATGGCTCTGCACCATTCTGGATCTCAAAAAGCGAGAGGTGTTGGTTGGGGTTACGGGTACAACAGTGCAAACTCCTGACTGTGACTGGATGTGAGAGGCGTAGCAGACATGAAACACTGCTGTTCAACCTGGTGTTCAAACTAATTGTATCTTGGTAAAACTTTTTCCATAATAAGAAACTTAAAGATTGTTCAGCTGACAAGGATAAGTAGGGCAGAACTGATTTTTCTAACACAGTTGACATTATTTTAATTTTTATCTCCCTTTCCAATTCTCTGTTCTAGGTCTGAGCAACATCATAGGAATTATTGTGTACATATCAGCCAATGCTGGGGACCCTTCCAAGAGTGACTCCAAGAAGAACAGCTACTCCTACGGATGGTCCTTCTACTTCGGTGCCCTCTCCTTCATCATGGCTGAAATGGTGGGCGTGTTGGCTGTGCACATGTTCATTGACCGTCATCGGGAGCTGCGCGTGGGAGCGCGAGCCGCTGACTACCTCCAAGGTGCAGCCATCACGCGCATCCCCAGCTATCGCTATCGCTACCGACGCCGTTCACGCTCTTCGTCCCGCTCCACAGATCCATCACAATCCCGAGAGGCTTCACCGGTGGGCCTGAAGGCCTTTGGGACATTGCCCTCCACAGAGCTGTCCATGTATACACTGCCCAAGGGCCAAACGGGCACCCCAACAGCCACCTATAACTCTACAGAGAGGGACCACAACTTCCTGCAGGTCCACAACTGCATCCAGAAGGACCTGAAAGACTCAGGCAACACCGCCAATCGACGTACCACACCTGTATGAAAGTGATAGATGGATCTCAGACACTAAAAAACAAAACAAAACAAAAAAAAACACTTGGAGAGAATTTGGGGGGGGAGACAGCAAAAGACATGGTGTAAGGAGACAAAGGAGATGGAGGCTTAAATGGATAGATGGAGTGAAGGGTAAGCAGAGAAGGGAAGCTCTGTGCGCTCAGATGATCATTGAGTTTCTGTTTAAAAATAGAAGCAGAAATAATGCATTAAAAGAAACATGCATGATTTTACCACTGACCATTGTTTAACGAGTTTTGAAAACTTGTAAAGATTTGAGGGGGAGGATGGGAAAGGAGGAGTTGGGAGGGGGGTGGCCGGTGGTTGTCTGCCTCAGGGCTGTGGAGCCTTGGAGTGGCGGGCCAGACAGCCCGTTCAAAGGTGAACTTTATATTTTTTACCTCAGTGTGATGAAAAGAGGGCATGGTTTGCCCACTGGCCCCACCTATGATCCCGCCTACACTACCA